CTGAAAGCGCTCCTCCACTTTGCTCTTTTTCACCTTGATTTTGTTGATGTCCTTGTCGGGTGCGGCCGTTTCCAGATGTTTGGTTTGCTTCTCCATCTCATCGACTTGACGCGCCTTGACGGCCATTTGCGTTTCGATCATTTAAAAAAATTCAAATTTGTGTCTTATGTCAAAAATTACAGCTATTTTGGAAAAATGTCTTATGCCGTTTTGTTTGGAATTCAGTTTCCTACAAGTTTTCCATTTAATGTTTTCCTGTCAAATTAATATCAACGGAACTAGGAGTAATTTAAAAATTTACCATAAATAAGTTTTTCCCAAATATCTCTTGACAGCTGTCAAATTTTCGAAAAATAAAATTGGTTTCGAGTAGAGCATTCAAAACTACAATTCTTTGTCCATTTGACCTTCTTTGTAGCTGCTCTAGTTCTGAGGATCCCTGTACTAGTCATCGAACAACACTCACCCTGTATAAGTAAATTGTATATCACGCCAGATCTAGCAGTCGCCTCCATTTGAATATTCTGACTTGCGCAGTTTCGCTTTAGTATCTTAGAAAGGATGGCGGATAAAATTTTTATATTTTTATGCCATAGCAGATACAAAATTGAAATGATGTACGCATTTTCCGCTCTCAAAAATGCAATTAGTAAATAAACAGATAGTTTACGGTGTAGACCAATTCGATCGGTTCAACGATACACATCAAACCTTATAGGTATGCACATATTTGAAATTTTAAAGATTTTACCTGAGACGTTGGTGTCCACATATTGTATTCCGCCATCCAATTCTGCAAGGTATTGATAGGCATAATGCATAAAATTGTTTTAGCAGCAGTATATCGCAAGAACACATCCGAAAACGTCACTATTTGCAACGTTTTCCCTAAACCCATCGAATGTGCCAAAATACAGCCAAATCCTGCAGAAGAATCGAATCTAAAACACAAAAAGGGTTGACTATAACATGGAAATCTAAGTGAAGCTGATATTACCCATTAATAGTTTCGACGATATTGTCGTAAAGAAATCGAACACCTCCGATCTGATGAGGCTTTATTATTCTTGCAATTTGCGGAGCTATAAATACGTCCGGATCATCTTCAGAATGACCCACATTAATTAGGACACGCCCCTTTTCGTCAGGTTGGTTAAATTCATCATTTGTGTGCATCCCTGAATTGCTCGGGTCATCATGATCATCATCGTCTGGACCCTGGTCGCCTTCAGACTCAGATACTACTATGCAGTCATCGTCAGAAGACACTTCTATTGTTTGATTATCGGAGGTTTTTCCTGATATAAAAACATATTTTTAATAAAGTATTATGAGTTTTCAAATAATATCTTACCTCGTCTAAGTTTAGGCGACTTTAGATGTGGAAAAGCAATGTTTTTCCTATCTTCACTTTCACTATCACTATCGCTTTGATGGGCCCTTGGAGGCAGTAAAGGCGGTCCTCTCTTAGTAACCGGAGAGAAACTTAAAGAAGTAGGTAAATTAACTCCGCTACCCCGCCTGCTATTAAAAGGTAATCTTGGATAACCTCGAGGAACTCCCATAGGCCCCAATGGAGTAATCTGCCCAGTGTGCTGTGAAGGATACCTAGAGTAAGGAGCTTCAGGTTTCGGCATTTTGAGGAGATCAAATCGTGGCACTTTAGTCATAGACTTTGTTTGACCATTAGGAAGTTTTACCAGAACAGTATTACCTATTCTGGTTTGATTGGATGGCCCGGGCTTTGAAAAATTGTTCCCCTGTAACAACGAGATCACTTTCTGCTGCATTTTCTCTTGCTGTGCTTGTCGTTGATATTCCCTAAGTATCCGTTGCTGCTCTTGTACTCTTTTTAATCTTTCCGCTTCTTGCCTTTGGGCCGCTAAAGTGGTTTCGTCCAATTTTGTTTCATCCATAACCTCTCTAATGTTTCGACGTAAATTCCCTTTACTTACAACCGTCACCTCATCTCCCGTTTTCTTTGTTATGACCACTTCATTCTCCGTAGGGGAGTCACTAGCCTTTGGTTTATCTCCTTTCTTGACTGACGCAAACGTTATCTCTCCCATTTCTTTCAGTTTCTCTTTGATATCGATTTCATAGTCTTCGTCGATAATCTCATTTTTAACGTTCGGATCGGATGAAGTTGGGGTGGGGACTACTGCTTGTTCCACCAAGTTTTCGAAAAAAGAGGTGTTTTCTCCGTTACTACTTTGATCATCTTCTTCTTTGACTGTCATGGGTTGCTCCAGTGGAAATTTTATTGCGACATTGCTTCCCGACAAAGAATTATTTTCCACGGCAGATACAGGCTCTGCTTCGGCTTTAGAAGGAAAAACTGTAGTACTGGTCGGACGGCCTAAAAAAAATATACAGTATATTATTGGAAATGATGACTCGAAAAAATAAACGGTGATTTTATTTTCGACTAAGAAAGCTTTCAGACCCATTTTGAAACTTGTAATTAAAATTCCCTGACGGCGATGGACAGAATAGGACACAACACAACTTTTGGTTTCCTGTCTACTACTGCAATTATTCAATGAAATAACTGCGTTTTACTTCTGTGTCCACACTTAAATTTTTCACCTTTTAAGCAGCCGAATCAAGTGTCGACAAAGTAGTAAAATTCTGGTATTTGATAGAATAATTGCAGTCAAAATTTGAAAGCTTGGTATTGGACATAGAAGACAGATATTTCAACTACCAACGATCAACTAACAGCTAACTTTCGAGAAGAAACATGATGGCAAATTTGGAAAAACCGTTCTATAATGTAGGTACACCTCTAGAATAGTCGAAGATTTATAGTAATACTCAGACGGGGCCTCTGCTTGTGACGTCACGCGTAATTAAATATTGCATCGTCTCTACGCTCAAAGATTGAAAATTTACAAAATATTATACATTTCGTTGCGGTTTATTAGTGACCGTCATGGCCATCAGTCAATTATGAATGTGGATTTATCGGTCAATATCTATTCGGTGTGTGGTTTAAATGAATAGTTGAGCAAAACCTAGATTGTGCAATATTTTTGGAAAGATAATTCCAAGCGGAAGTTAAATATGAAAAAATATACAGTGTCCCGTTTAACAATATCTTATTCTCTATATCTATTTCCTTTTAATAACTAGAAAAATATTTGCTTGCCGCAAATTAAATTTACATTATCGGATACTACGTGAAAAACTGCTTTGGCAATGTTTCCGAACAAAGTTTTAAAAAATCCCAGGAATAGTGTTAGAGAGCTTTTCCAAAAATGTAGGTTTCTGGAAAAGGCTGTATTTCGGAACCTGTTAGAGATATTGACATTAATTTTGTCATAAAAATCGCGGCTCAGACACTGACATCAGTTTTTGTCTATATGGTATAGAAATGGGAGTTTCCATTTAAAAGTATCCAATTTGGAATCAATCAAAATATTCTTAAATGTTAATTCATTTTTAAATGAAAATGATATTTTTAAACATTTTCGCATATAAACCGTATATTTTATTTAATCACTCTAGTTGTTAGTGTTGCAAGTTTTTTTGTTCTTTAAGTAGTTACTTCTGACCCATGTTTTGTTTGATTTTAGACTATTTTATTTTAAGTTTACCAATGTTAAGAATTATGTTTTTAATGAAGGAAATCATTATACGGGGTGGTCACTCTTACAATGTACACCTCTCCTAAACGCAACGAGATCAAATGACGAAAAAGTTGAGCATTTTAATGATTATTTAAAAAATATTCACAGCAATAAAACTATTAATCCGATTTTTATGAAACTTGGGCTACTTACATTTTTAATAAATGCCCCTTTTACCCCCTTCCTTTTTTTCTCTATTTAGTACGATAAAAAGTCAATATGGCGTTCATAAGAAAAATCAAAGTGGACTGTTACTATGCAATACTAAACACCAATAAAAAAAATCTGACACTATCATGAAAAGGGCATTTATTAAAAATGTAAGTAGCCCAAGTTTCATCAAACTCGGATTAATAGTTTTTTTCGCTGTAAATATTTTTTAAATATAATGTTTGCATTTTTTTCAGGATATTTCGAAAACCATGACATCTAGGTTTAATTTCAACATGGCTTTAAAATAAGCATTAAAATGCTCAACATTTTCGTCATTTGATCAACTTTGTATCGCGTTGCGATTAGGAGATCCCAATCGTGTACATTGTAAGAGTGACCACCCTGTATATCATCACTATTTCTACTATCATCATCATTTTTATTCTGCATTTTTAGTAAAAAATTTAAAAAGTAACAACCTATTACCAAAGTAACGTTCTAACCCGTTACAGAAAAATAACCGTTTACCACAACTCTAATACGAATAGCTATTAAGGTAACACAAAAGATCGCAAATCTGAGTCATAAATATGCAATTTAATACAAATTTGGCAAATCAGTTGTACTTTTATCAAAAGAATTTGTCATAAAATTATACGAATAGAACTGCAGAAAAATAGTTATCAAAATACATTAGTCTAGTTAGAATGATATAAAGGGTAAATACATACCATGTTGTGGTTTGGTCTCCATGTTCTTCAATACATCATCTAATCCCAAATTTAAACCCAAATCGGCACCCAGGTCCTGCAATTCGCTCTCTGATCCCATATCCGAATCATAGTAAGACATTTCATCTTCACTCAAATTGGGTTCACTCTCATTTTCAAAGCTTTTCGTTCCAACTGTTGGAGTAATATCCTTTTCAGGCTGTTTGGTATCGGACTTAAACTTTTTAAAAGAAATTTCAGGACCAAGGTTCAACCCGCTTGATATAATAGATCTTTTCAGGGCTGTAGATGATGATAGCGCAGGCTGCGGTTTTGAGACTGGTGATTCAAAGTCAAGTTCCTCGTTGCCCTCGAATTCTTCATCACTTTCTTCATCTGATGGACTGCAAAGATGGGAATCGGATTCGTGAGTGGCTTCCGCAATATAAAATGTTTCAAAATATTTAACTTATTATAGGTAGTTAGCTGAAACCCCAAGCCAGCTCCCCAGATGACAGTAGGGTACCTATTTTGTAGATTATGGGTGCGTGCAGCTTAGAAATATTGACATAAAAAAATGTAAAAGAAATCAGTTTTTTTAAATGACATCTTTTAAATTCGTCAATAGCGTGCGCCTGTTATAATATAACGGTTTGACTGATACAACACACCAGTTCGAGTCACATAAAGGGTTTGACGGATAACATACACGTCAAAGTTAACGTAAGTGATACAGCACAGGGCTGATTGTGACTGGCGGCTAAGCGTAGGAATACGATCCATTTAATGCTGATCAGCTGGGTGATTCAGAGTGGAGTGGGCTATCTATCTCACTCTTAATCTATACTGTTGGTGTTTAAAAGATTTCGTATTTAAAATTCTACAGTATTTGAAATCTATTTTTATGTATAGGCCTATTGACCTTCCAAAATTGATGCGTCTCTTCTGCAATTCTGCCTTCACAGCATATGGCATGCAAACGCAACATCAACTCTCAAAGTGCCTATTTCATATTATTGATGAATGTTATTATACTGATGGCTTGTGTATGGGTTACGTTTATTCAAAAAGAGTAGATTTTACAGCATCTTTAGTGCAATCATTGACTGTAGTACACGTTTCTGTGTTAAATTATGTCTAAAATATTATTTTTTTAAGTGCATCTAAACAATGATATCTCGTATGCATATTCAATAACCACTTTATCGTCCAAACTGTGAGCCTGACGGCGATTGCGTATATAATTGCTTTGGTATGCAAAAAAATTAATTGCGGGATAAACAACCCATATTTATTTTTCTGAACTAGCATATAAAAGAATTTCGAACGTGTTGTATCCTTTACTAACGAATTAAGGAAAATTCTAACCTCAATCAACTATTCACCAAACTTAAAAATCAACAGCTGATAGCTGAGTCTGCGCATGCGCATTAAATGGATCGTATTCCTACGTTTAGCCGCCAGTCTGATTGGGTATAACAGCCCGTTCACACGGTGACAATAATGACGTAATTCCGTGACAGTAGCCAGGGTCACGGTGCCGTACATCAAACTGTTCGCGAGTTCAACTACGGATACGCTGCAAAACGTCAAATTATTCGTTGTCTAGTGACAGCTGAGACTAGTCAGACTTGTTTATTTATTGGAGTTAATTACATTTACAACATAAAACAATACTTACACATTTATCAATCTGTTTCTATTTCTTTGAAAGCTTGCAAAAGTTGATTAGAACAAAACAAATCACAATCAGTTGTAACTGTAATGTAACTTAATTTGCAGTTATAAATTTAGACACCAGGGCGGCGTCTGGACTTTTGAACTCGCAAATTTACGTCACGACATTAATGTTATTGTGTGAACGGGCTTTAAAATGTAAAATTGGCAAATGCACGAAAATTCTACAGTGAAAACGGTTAAGTATTTGGCAGACAGTAGACACATCAAAGCGACGATGTGACCTAACTTTTATTAACAAAAAATGTCTGGCGTCCCTGTTACTGATGGTCAGTTCTTCAAAAAATTCTAAGATTTATATTTTGATGAAACAAACAAGTTCAGCCGTTTAGGGCCAGTGGTGAATTCTTGAGTGCCATGGTACAATAACTACCAGAACTTTTTATTAGATGGATGGAATCAACTCATTTTCTTTTTGGTTGGTGCACTAATAATTTATTCACAATTTCGTGCTCTTTGTAAAATCATGGAGCAATCATAGTTTTTGCGCAAAAAAAATATGTCTGTTTTCTTGCCATTTGACATGTGTTAGACATTAACTACAAATACGTGCCGCGTCAACGCATACGATTTCACGCAAGTTGTCTTCGCAAAACCTTAATACTTTGACCATGTCGGTCACTTGAGCACAAACTTCACACTTGAGTCACACTGAGCAGTAGATTAGGTATAGAGCATGTCTAGCGTTAAACGGAGGTCATATACAAAATCAGTGAGTTTAATGATTTTGCTTTTATTTATTTATTTGTTTTTAAATTTATAGTAACGATAAATTCCGTATGTTCTCATTCTATAGTTTTTTGATGCATTTCAGACTATAATTTGTTGCTATTTAAAATTGTTCAAACATTCAATTAATTAAAATCCAATTGACCTGTCTTAAAATATATAGGGTGTTTTATTTAAAAAATATATTTAATGTCTAATTTTGACATTTCCGTGTTTCATTTTTCTATTTTAAATTCAGATTTAAAAAATTTGAGTAAATTTTGACAACTTTTGTGTTGGTTAGTTTCACAATTTTCTAGCGGGGGTGTCAACTTATGAGGACAACACTCCGGGTACAAAGGAATGATTATTTCTCATTTCGTATTATCGCTATTCTTTAAGGTTGGCACCTAAAACAAAAAAACCAGAAACTTTTGGAAAAGATTTATCACCTGACGCCTGTTTCGGTAGCTATACTGCCATCTACTTTCTCATTTGAGAACTTTCGACAAAGTAGTAAAACTACTAGGTTATTTTATTTTAATTTTATGTAAATTAAGTTATTTACATACATAACATATTTTGTTCAAAAGGCGATTTTTTCTAAAGTACCGTCGAAAAACAGAAATTTAGGGACATTAAATTATCTACCATTTATTTCCTATCCATTCTACCGCTTTCAAAGTTCGTGGTCTGGCAAAACTGCATCAAAGCGACCTTCATTTTCTTATAGAAAAGTAGTGAATTATAATGAGTGAAAAGTGGTCAAAAACAGCATTTCCGCTAAAGACACCACTAAAAAAAATTGTTAATAAACTGAGCACATTTATTAAGGGGCCTGATAAAGCCTGATGTCCTTGAAAATTACCGAAACAAACTACAATAGATGAATGAATTATAGACGTCCAATATATTATTGCTACATTCAATAGATATTAATGAATCTAATTCAACTTACCATAATTCTTCCGATGTTTCATGTTCTTCCTTAGCTTTTGGCTGTTCTACCGATTCTGGTTTACTTGGTGGCTCTTCTTTAAGTTCCTTGGGTTTCTGGAGCCTTTGGATGGTAACATCTCCCAATCGTTGTAATGCCGGTTCCATTACACTATTTAGTTCGAGATAGTCCACTGTTTCACCGGATCATTTTAATTGAGGGTTTGATGAATTATTTGTTTACATACAGTACACGAGTGCTTGAGCCGCCATTAACTAGAGTATCGAAAACAAAAATGTGTTAGAAGCCCCAATAAAATCGCTTGTCGATAATATTACACATTCCCGAGTTTATTCCACTCTTCAGAGCTGGAAGGATAGTGGAGTTGCCGATTGAGTGGCGAAACAAAAACACTACAACCAGAGGCCTTAATTCCGAATGGAACGATGATTACCTTAGATGCTCTAGCAGATTAGCAGAGCCTTTCTTTCTCGCTATTGCCTACTCAACGCGCATCCATTAAAAGGACTTTTTAGGTAAAAACATCCGATTTTCCATACAATTATAAGCTTAAAAGAAGTAACTACACACCGCTTGCCCCGTATATGTTTACATGAAAATGTCGGCAGGGGCGCTATTCTAAATTGCAAATTGACAGTTGTTCTGTCTTACTATCGACATGAAGGCAGCAATGCACTCTATGCTAAAGTGCCTGGAACGGACGCGTTGCACGCCAAAGGCGCAAAATCAAAATGTAGGCAACCCGCTGTCCTGAGGATCTCTTTCAGTCATTCACTTATATGGGGGTTCGCAGCAAGATTTATCAATTTTGGTTTTCTTTTTAACTTTTTAATTACAGTTTGATGGTATAACAAAATTGAACTTTGAATTGAATCTTAAACTTATCAGTTAGAAAAAATCATCATTATAATTCTGAAGTGGAAGTAGGAGCAAAAAATTAAAACCAAAATGAATACAAGTAAAATATAAAATACCCTATTTACATAGAAAAAAGTATACAGTTTAACAAAAAACTTCTAAATTTATATTTTAAGATTTTTTAAATTTTTTTGTCTCACTCGCATTGTCATGCTATAAAGAAGAACAAGCTCCAATAGTAGACTCCGGCTCACTAAAGCGGGGCAGAAAGTTTATTGATGCAAGGATAGTGGATTTAAGACCAGCTTAGTAAAGCTCGGCTTTTAGAGCTGCTTGGTGCCAGCGGGCCCTAGAAATCAAGTTATACAGGGTGTTCGGAAAATGCGTTTGGAAATTTTTGAAGGTGACTCAACACGCTAAAATAATGGTAGTCATGTAAGAAAGTTTCGAAATCTGAATATTTACCGAGTTACAGCTCATCAAACTTTTTTTTTCTTTTTTTTTACCTATTTTGAATATTTCTTCGCGGATCAAATTGAAAATCGTTACAGAGTTTTAGCTTAGTGATCTCAAACCTTCTTATAAAAAATTGTTTCTTCACTTTGCTACTAGATGGCACTTTGCATGTAATCCAAATTTTATTTTCTGCATATCTTTTTTGTCACGCCAAATATCGCTAAAAGAAATACGCCTTTCAAACACTTGAAAATGCTAGACAAAAAATATGCTCTTTACACGAGTCGAAAAACCCCGTCATTTAGGAGCAAATCGAGAATAAAATTTTCGCTACTCCATAACGGTGGCCTTTTTAATTATAATCGCAGCAAAGCAAGTCGTCTGGTTTTAAATGGCCAAATTTCACAATTTATAGTAATTATTATTTTTGTGCCCTAAAGCCACTAAATTAAAATGAAGCAAGAATATTCAATTTATTGAAAAATACGTCTTTTGATTTCGAAATACTTCATTTTACATATCACAAAATAGAGCACGATAAGATTAATATCGACTAATATTACTTCGTCTTTCAAGGTAATTCCCCAACTTGTTAGAGTTAAAAGAGTTGCTTGCGATTAAAGTCTATCGGTGGTAAAGTGTGTCATATGGGGATTAATCAGTGTACTCAGTACTATGATCAGAGACAAGTATGCTCTGCAATGATCATAGAAATTTGTCCTTCATTGTCCAATTCCTTCGTGAAATTTGAACCAAATTAATTAATTTGTGTATAATTTATATTCCACTTAGAAATATTGCATTAATTTTTAGCATTGCTATTGCAGTAATTATAAAACATAAGTATTACCTTATCTAATTATTATATACCTATAATTACCAAGTAACTGTTAAAAAATCTTGAATGACTGAGAAAAATATTGCCATTTGGTATTTATCGCAAGTGCGCTGAAACTTATAGCATAACATTGTCTCTAAATAAATTTATTAGATTGGAAGCCTAACGCTAGTGGAATTTTTAGTTGGATCAACAATAAAAGTGCATTTCAATTTTATATTGAATTTGGAATATTATATCAAGAACTGAGTTAGTGCTGATTTGAGAGAACAATATGGTATGGGTATTAATGGTAGCTATACCATAACATTATATTATGGGGTTATTTAAAGAATATTGTATATGAGAATCTAGGTAGACGCCTTAAAATGGTGGATTCAATTTATTAATATAATCATAATAATAAACGATATTAATATTAATCAACCAATACATTGTAAACGTTATACAGTGTTTGGTAAGTAGATGCGTTCCTTGCAGGGGGTGATTGTGCAAGTAATTTTGGATGTATTTCGTTAATAGACCATGTTCGTAAAACGCTTAGTTTCCGATGTACAAGGTGTTAAAGTTTTAATTAAAACTGTTTTATTTATTAAGTAAGATGGTGCAAATATTCCTTCGAGACCAGGATCTTCGATCCTATTAGCTCTCGTCAGCTGGGTTTAGCCTGAAATTGGGGACCGGAAAACCTGCGGAAACCGCTTGGAATAATTTAATGACATTTTACAAGCTTATGCACTTAACAACATGCTGTGACAAAAATTTTGTTTCTAGCTTTTCCAGTGGCGTGTGCACAGGCACGTCTGTATATAAGTTTAAATAAAAAATGTTACTCCACTGGTTTTTTAAATAATAAAGATGATGATTCAAATTCCTGTTCAATTTGGAAGAGAAAAGGTCTCTTTTCGTCCCGTCTTCGAGTAAACAAATCAATTATTGCATAGCGTAATCGGGTTTTTATTAAAAACTTGGCTCTGCACTAGTTTTTCTCACTGATTGACAAAATTAATAATTGCTGCCATTTCGAGTGTTTGAGTAACTTTAGTTGTCACTTCCTTTTACGTTTAACGTAATTTCGAGTGAATTCACATTAGTTGACAACTTTATTTGTTGAAATTGCTGAGTTTTCAAACGTTCAAAAGTTTATCCCACCCCCATCGCTCTGAAGATTTTAAAAGTTTCTTCAAAACTTTAGGTTTAGATAAATGTGCTGTCGATATCGTATTAGTATCAGTTATTAATTATGCATCATGGGCTTCGCTTTTAAGCGGTGCTGCGCGTTCAATTTTTTTTCCTTGGTTTTACTGAAGAAAGACGATGACACGCCAGTTGCGTTGCTTTAATGAATGGAATAAATGAAGAAGCAACACATTTTCTTCTTGTAAAGCCTAGACCGTATGTAAAGATCCGATTATTTGGATGATTGAACAGGTATCGGAAATCGTTGATATAAGTTATCATTTGCGATTATTTCGTACGGAACAAACATTATTTTGTAATTCACAAACTTACAATTCGAAGATTGCCACCTTGAGTGAGGTTAAATGTGATGTGGATGTTAAAAGTGGATGATAACCTCCACAAGCGCAGTTTGAGGTGGGGCGCAGGGAAGGGGGTGAGTTCACCAACTCATAGAGCGGCATCAACTCAAAAGTGCAAGTCAATACAGTGTTACACAAGCCCACTCGCCTTAACCGCTTTGCAAACATTTTTTGAAAACCTCTTGCAGCTTCGAATTTTGGACAAAACCCTAATATTTTTTATCGTTTTTTTTTCCAAAAATATTTCTCGGAACAGAACAAGCGAAACTTTATAATCAATTATTTGAAAAACTCGTCACCTTCGTCGCTGTGAATCATTCGGTATTTTTTTATTCCGGTTTCTTCACTTTTAAGCCAATATTTTATAACAAAACTCTCTGTAAACAGAAAAATTCGTTTTTCCTAACGTTTTACTGTAAAATACTGGCAAACTGAGTTTCTCATGCAAAAAAAAATGAAGACAACAGTTTTACAAGAAAACTCGTCATCTTCATAGTTTGGTCTTCTTTATGTTCTTTTGGCATCTTTTTCTAATACCCGTTTTACCTCTGAATTTGGGACAAAATCGAAACAAAATACCCGTTTTCTCGAAAAAAAATAAGTTTTCCCTAAAAACGACCAGACAGTTAAAATCACTTCCTTGGAAAGGGAGTTTTTAAAACAATTTTTATTTCAATTGACATGGATTTCAGCTTCAAGATACAACTGTTCGTTATTACAGGCTTATGAGAATTTATACTGAATTAATGCTGATGAGTTTACATGCTGTCTGTGAAACTAAAGAACATTATGTACTTCGTAGGCATAATTAGATATTTCCTAATGCTTAGCTGCGAAATAGAATATCATGAATTTGTGAAGTTGGCTAAATATGATATCCATAACTAGAGAAAGCAAAAACGTATTGCAAGTACTTCAAAATTTCCGGTTTTTCTCGTTTTAGACAAAAGTCAAAACGACAGTATTTTCAAACAATCGTTTCTACAGAAAAGGTAACTCAGTGAATTTTTAGGAGTTGGCGCAGTGCTGCACCATCCTAACGCACCGGCGCAGTAACTCAGTTGCGTTGCTGGGAAAATGTTATAAACGTTTTCTATCCTTTTTAGTTGTAAAATGGTAAAACGTTACTTGTAAAAAATGATGACCTTTTTTTTAGAAACCTTTTAAAATTCCAGTCTCGGAGCTCGTAAAGCTTTAATCCGCTTTAATTAATGACTTATAAATCATTAACCGATGAGTTATAACTCATTAACTTAGAGAGCGGCAACAACTAAAAAGCGCAACTCATCACACCAGGCCGATTCTCAACCGCCACGAGAAACTGCAAAATATGAAATAGAAATTAGAAAACGTAATTTACTGCCCGAAGGCTGGTGTAAATTTTGTCTGCTTCGTAGCTTCCAATGTTACTCTTGAACTATTCTTCAACGCCAGTTTTAAAAATTGATCGATCTTCGCTTAACTCTTTGAAAAGTTACTATAAAATTGAGATGGCCAAAAGTGCGTTTTAAAGTTTTCCTAAAATTAATTGCGATTTAATAAAATCATGAAATACATATCAACAAATTTAAATAAAACGATAAAAACGAAAATTTTACAAAATATTGGGACAGTTTCGTAAATGTATGCAATTTGAGGTTTGATTAAAGAATATTGTATATTGCCAGAAGCCAAGATCTAACTCCGTTAGACTTTCACGTATGGGACATGATTTTCATCCTATTTTGTTGGTTTATGCCGGAGAAATTAATACAGTGCTTACAGATGCCATTATTCCACTTAGACATACATTTTAAGGCATCATAAGGCGGTCACTTGCATGCGTTTGAAAGGGACTTCTTTTTGAGCAAGATCTTAAGTAGTTACTGTTTTTTAATTTTTTACATATCGTTGCAAGCTTGGTACGCATTCAATCCAAAAAATTAGTTAAATTTTAATTCACAGGTAAATAATCTAATCTGTAAAAACAAATAAAGAAACTCTAAGGCTGATGCCAACTGCGACTAGTGATAATTTTTTGTAATAAAATTGATACTAAACCCTACTTAATTACAATCCGATTAAGATATGCCATAAATCGATATTAATTTTTTTACTCAAACTGTGCGATGTATAAAAAAGTCAAGACCCTTTCTCTTCCAAATAGAACAGGAACTTAAAAAATATTATTTATTTTTAGAAAAAATCAGTGGTGTTACATTTTTTTATTTAAAATTATCTACAGACGTGCCTATGCCCACTTTACTATTGCTGTTAAGTGCATGTCTGTAAAATTTCGTTAAAATATTCCAAGCAGTTTCCGCAATATTAATAAATATCATTTTTTAAATTAAAACTTTATGACCCTGTAGATCGGAAATCTCTAAATCTACTCACCAAACACCCTGTATGCAATTAATTGTTAAACTGATAATTTATTATTTTGCATTTATTTCTTTTGCTGAAGGGTCTTAATTCTAGAATCTAAATTTACAACCTTTTGATTCATTTCATTCAGATTAGTTGCAAAACTTTCTTGAACTCCTTGCAGTAGAGTCTTGTTATTTTGGACACTGCTGCCGATTTCCGATTGAATCAACTCCATCTGGGTAAGCGTTTTTGTAAATTCGGTGGCTGAAAGATAACAAACACAATAAGGCAACAAAGCTTTTTTACCAAATAACATACCTTTATTATGAAGAGCTTCCAATGATTTTAACCTTTCTACAGTTTGAGGTAGAATCTTTGTGAGGGTTTCAGTGTTTTTAAGCTGGTCATAAAGCTCAAGAATCTGTAAACTGATAAAATAGGATGTGTTTCAGTGGGGATTTATCAATATTACCATTTTGTCTTTTTCTTCATCCTGTGGCAGTTCTTTCTTTTTCTGCCCAATGACCTGTAATTTTTGAGACAAAGCCGAAAGTCTTCCCTCTATATGATCTAACTGAGAAGAATCAAGTAAGCTTGCAGTTGCGCTTAGATATTGGGCAGCTTCTAACAAGCTTCCTAAATTGACAAATAATTATGAAATTAGTAATTTTTTGCGCAAGTTAACACGGAACCAAAATTACCTTTATTAGTTGCCGTAGTCAACCTTGACAACTTATCAGACGATGCTCCTAAAACTGTCTCTAATCGATGCAATCTACTCTCCAATTCGGCGATTCTAGCAGTTTGTTGTAATTTAGCGTGCTGTGGTCTGTAATTAAACTGATAGATAATACCTTCCTCGTTGCTGTTTTTTTCATATTCAGGTTTTTCATTCAATACTTGTTTGAACTCTTCCAACTGTGCCAAAAGTTTCCTGAAACATCAATGTATAGTGTTACTTTTTGTATCGTACTAGTAGATATTACCCACCTGACCTGTGATCCTTCAGGATCTGATATTTTAGCAATTAGTTCTTCACCTAAAGTTTCTTCTAGTTTAAGATCGGCTAATAATTTTAAGGACTGTTCAACTTGATCAGTAGGAACAAGACAATCCAACTTTCCTTCATCCTTGTTCACTGTTAGACTATTGACTTCTTCAAGCAGTTCTTTCATTTCACATTGCAAGCGTTGGTACTTTTGAATAGGTGTCTCTCGTTTGCCTAAATCAGAAAGCAAATTTTCTTGCAAAATTAACTACATGGGGTCTCAATATGAATTATATATATTATATAGCGGTTTTCATATAAAAATTTGGATAATTGGCTTTTGAAATTTCTTCAATTTTTCCTTATTTTTTAGCAAAACTAAACCTGTCAAAATGATACTTTGTAAGTTTTTTGTTTGTTTTTCTCAAGGGTTTTGAAGGATTTTTGATGAACAATTGATTTGAGCTTCACGGCATTTTGTTTTAGTGATAATTTTTGGCGTATTTCTCTTAATACTGGCCTCAGCTGGAAAATTGAAATTCAGCAAAAGCAACATAATAGTAATATTGGCATGGTTAACAAAATTCCAGGGCATTTCAGGTCGAAACCCCGAATATTTGGAAAAAAAATTGTTGTGGGCGTTTTTCTGTGAATCATGGCCCCATTTGGATCATTAAAACTGGGTTGTAAAGAGCACAATGTCTGTAAAACCGGCATTTTACGCAACTCAAATGGTTAAGAAATGTAAAATTTATTACGATTTGAACGTCAAGCAAAAAAAATTCGATGTTACACTTTAGGCAAACTTGAAATAGATGGATTTAAGTGCCAACAAGCATTTTCAGACACGAAAATCGCCCTTTCTTTAAACAAAATAAAACTGCGTCGATCTTTCCTAAAAATTACCGTTGAGAAAACTAAACTCCGTTAGAATCCAACTTTTAAGACAAATATATTTTAATTTTCACACTTCATGTAAACGCCAGATGCATTTAAATGTCGAAAAATATTTAGAATTGTTATACTTTCCGCAAACTTTTGATGAATTTGAGCCCTAATAATGCAGTTTTGGAGATGAAAATAAAAATATTTTATTGAAAATTATACGCAAGTTGTGAAACTGAATGTTTGAAAAATAATTGCGCTCGTTTATTTAAAAATCGTTAAAAATTCACATCTCACAGACTGAAGCAGGCAGGCAATTGCACCTTTTATCATCTTTCGTGGACATTTGACCCTATAAACGTGAAAAGTTTTAGAAAAATGCATACGGAACTTGATTTTTTGTGAACTTTGTAAATGTGACTCGCTCAATTGCGCTCGCTCACTTAAAAAATCACATTTTCCAAACTCAAGCACGCTGGAGAATAGGTCTGTTACCATCTTTAGTGGACATTTGATCCGATAGACGTGGAAAGTTTCAGAAAAATCCATGCGGAACCTGATTTTTGTCGAATTTGTAAATGTGACTCACAAAATTGATGGTGTCAGTAAGTTGCGCTCGCTTACTTAAAAATTCGCGTCTTCCAAACTAAATCACGCATGAAGTTGAATTTGTTTCCAACTTTAGTGGACATTTGACCCTATAGTGAGACACCCTGTATACTAAGTGAACTCCCTGGCTACAAAATACAACATATTTTTCATTGTGAAAGTGGATTAAGGCTAAGTCCTGAAGCCCCAAAAACATTTAAAAACGCCTAGAAGCTTTTTGCTTTTTTTGCCCTCGGGCGACCCTGTACACTCTAGGGAGCGCGTCTCCAGGTGGCGGATAGGAGAACGCTTCCCAGAAATAGGTGGTAGGAGGGAACTCAAATACCTCCCGCGGACCAACAGGTTTAGTGGTAGTTTGACTCAAAAACTGGCCAACATGCTCGGCAAGCGTGGCCTTTTAATGCCAAAACCTTCGAAACCCATGTTATGTTGAGTCGATGAGTTATCTCGCACTGATAAGTCAGCCCGCCTCGTGGATTCTGGGGGAAGCAAAACCTCAATATATAGAAGCAAATATATTATCACACAAAATTTAATCCGTGTCGCAACATACAAGATAAGAGCAATGTGAACAGCTGAAAATCTCAAAATTCTGGAGAGCTAGAAAATGTAAAATGGGAGGCCAGATAACAAGGAGAGAACGCAACTACCCTCAAATCAGGACATTTGCTGTATCAGAAAATTGCAAATGTGGACTCTCATCAGGTAAATATCCTAATTAACAAAAAACTAAAGCACCTTGTTATCAGGATGAAAGCAGTTTCTGTTTTAAAAAACATACAAAAGATATTCCCTAAAACCAAAAGTGTGTATGCTCCGACCTCCAGCCCTGGAAGCCCTCCAGATGACCATGAAGCCGAACAATTTTATGAGGACATAACAACACCTCAAAGATTGGGAAACGCCAAATTCACCATAATTATAGCAGACAATAATGCTAAAATTGGCCCGAAGACAGAGAACGACCATCCAAACATATCCAATTTTGGATTAGAAAATATAAATGGCCGTGGTGAACTGCTACTTAATTACCTCCAACAGCAAGGTCTATCTGCCTTCTATCAGAAATCTTCCCAAAGAAACTGGACCTGGAGAAGTTCAGATGGCCAAGTTAAAAATGAGATCGATTTAAAAATGAGGTATTGTGACCTATAAATTTTAATTATGGTTATTAATTTATATTTATTTTTTGTATATTTTACCTATCTTAGTACACCTATAACTTCAACGATTTGGTTGGACATGAGTATTTAATTAATTTAATTTAACGTAAATATGGGACTTGCCCATGACCTAAGCTAAATACAATGACAACGGATTAAACTATAAAAAAGAAACAACAAAAACAAACACAAAGAAGGACGAAACTCTCCTGCAAGAAAGCTGATCCCAGTGAAAGCACAACATTGTGAGCACGAGCCATAGAAAAAAATCAATCCAACATCTGAACAGTCATCTGTATTGAGCTGTCTCCTGAACTGCAGCTCAGATTTCCCGTTTACCAGATAAAACTCTAGTCAGAATAGAATTTGCGCCGTAGTTCGTTCTGTGGAACGGAACATGGAGCAAATCGTTAAGTCGAGTGGTTTTGGATGGTACATGTAAGGAAATCTCTGAGAGTAGGTCAGAACAGTTAAATAATGGCTTTATAATTTTATATAGTAGGGTTAAATCATGCTCAATTCTCCTGTTTGACAAAGTTTCAACCCTCAGAACTGACTGAAGACTTGTGAAATTTAAGTAGTGGTAGTTACAATTGGTAGGAAAGTCAGCTCCACAAAGGTCCACTGAGTGAGAACTTCAAATTAATGAATCTTAAAATTTTTGGCTGGACTCGCTCAATATATCTCAAATGACAATAGTAAGTCGGACTCCACACGCTTGAACAATACTCTAAGAGCTATTTCACCACCGGCCACTCTTCAGCGCTTCTCAGTGGCGCTGCTGAGAAGCGCGTTTTGAAGGTACATTGATTTACATGGAGTTATTCACACGGGTGCGACCAAGGCCGGACCACCGATGTAGCAGCGCTTCTCTGGCGTTCAGTGGTTGACTATCGCCCAGAATCACGTCAAAAAGAAGCGCCACTGATAGCGATACATTGGTTCAAATGCTGGCGTTCATACGAGCCACTTCAGTCTGCTTCAGGTTAACGTGCGCTTCTCAGCAGGCCTACCAAAAAGCGCTGCAGAACGGAGATGCAGCCCTTAATAATGAAAGAAAAATGAGTCTACCCATTTTCTACCGAAAAATGTCGAGCTTATCTACCGAAACTCGATTTTCGGACCTGGCAACCCTGAGCTGAACAGAATCCAGCGAACGACAATCCGAAGTAGATCGCTTAATAAATGCGAGCATTTTCAATGATTTGCTCGTTATGTGAGAAAAATTGGAAGCAAAACTCAATGGAAGATTCAGAAGCACTCCCAGATCCATGTCGGATCTTCTAGACAACTTTAAGTTTTTATCAGTTTACAGCATAAGAATAGTCAGTAGATAATTATATTATTTTCCTTCCTGGGCTCCAGTCAAAGTGTGAAACAAAAAATTGAATATTGTTTCGTTTGAATAACGTTTCGGCGTTCATAATGTAACGTTTAAAAAAATGTTATTTCACACTTTGACTGGAGCCCAGGAAGGAAAAGAATATAATAACAATTACACGCAGTCAGGAAAATAAATCAGTAGATAATTTTTGACGAGAGAATACCATAGAACATTTCCCTGCATTCAGCTCCATTCCATTGTGGTCACACCATCGACTGAGGCGGTCCAGATCTTCCCGGTCCGCCGGTGATTCTAACTAACTTTCAAGTACAATTTAAGATCATCCTCAGACAGAAGAAATTTACTGTTCTTAAAACAGGATGATATATCATTTATATAAGTAGGTATGTGTTGAAAAGAAGCGGACCCAGATGGGAACCCTGCGGTACACCTAACGGCACGACAATGTTTTTAGATTGGAAATGGAGATAGTCACCGATCCATTGTAGGAAAGGGCCATCAAGACCCAAACTATTCAACTTATCAATTAAAAGTGAGTGGTTTAGAAAAGTCTGTATATATCGAGTGAACCGAAGTAACTGAGTAAATCAACTTGTCTACATGCAAGAGGTCCAATTCATTCTTTCACCGTAAGCATAAGAGATCGAACATCACCAGATTCAAAACGTGTGAATCAGGTCAAATAAACACTACGAACATATGAACTTACCTTGTCCAGCAAGTTCCCAGTCTCCATTTATTACATCATAGCCTGTGCGAAACTGTTTTCCAAGTCGCTCAGAAAAATCAACATTGGCAGCATTCAAAAACTTTCCTTTAAATTTATTGTAGGCTTCTTCAGATGATATTTCAAGTTTTTCTACAGGCTCGTTTTCAGGCTCATAAAAGTTGTCAGCTTGCTCTGATTCCGGCAAATCAACTGATTCATAAACATCGGGCTCATCGTGAGCCTAAAAGCAATTTAGACCAGCAAAATTAGACCGCTCCCATTAAGTAGGTAGTTACTCACAATTCCGGGTAAGTCTGCATATTTTGGATCAGCCATTGCAGATTTAGAAAGTTGTTTTTCACGAAATAAAGGTTCTGTACTATTTTGGTTGTCTAATGACAATGAATAAGTAATAAAATGTTTTTTTTTTTAATAAGTTAGTTGTCACAAACACAGATCACAGAGGTTGCTCTGTAATCTGTGGTCACAAACCTTCAACTCTAACCTATTTAACATGATTGCAGTCAGACAAAGTGAACCAAATTGAACAAAGATGAACCGTTGAGTCCTCGTGAATATTGAACTATTTATAAAAATTTCACTAAATAACACACTTATTATTCATTTTAAATCTTCGTTACCTTTATTAAGTACTGAAAAAACTTTCTACTTTCTTCGTAAAAGCCGACGCAAGATGTTTTATATCTTTCTTGATTTTTCTTTTCCGTTTGAAACCCGAATGTTGCAGCAGACAAATTGGCACATACTTTAAAAACTCTCTCGCCAATGTTATTTAGAACACTTGCAGTTTATTTAAATATGCTGTCAAGGCGTCGCATATACAAACATGGGGGCTACCGAATAGAAAAAATAAAATATTTTCTTTACTCTATGAGTTACATCTAGGCGCCTGAGACGTCATAGTCACAAAATATCCCCCCTAGGGGGTATGTTCTGTGGTCATAGTGACGTACTGACAGATACTGACTTAAAACTTATGTTTGACATGAGTGTTTTGTAATAATAATGTTCATAATTCGCGCTATTATTGATGTCGTAATGACATTTGATGCCTTGCGGTAGGTCAGGTTTTTAATCCAAACATTGAACCTTTTTCATCGGAATTTTTGGATTTTCTGATTTTGTGTGCCTTTAACGTGTTTGAGAACTGTGTAAAGTCGATTTATTGGTGTGGTATATGGTTTGAAACATCTCAAATAGTTTAGGTAAGATCTTTAGCGTAGCTTCTCGGAAATATATCGATTTAACTTTATCATTTTTATGTTATCTTTACAGCATCAAGAATATTTAGTGGTTCCCAACTGTAGAATTAGATTTTCGGGCATAAAGTAAGAGATACATAATCAAAAAGTATATATATATCGATGTATATTCAAATAGAATCTTATTTTTAAACTTCAGTGGCTGAAAAGCATATCATAAAGTTCAGTTTTATAAGCAATTTTTTTTGAACTAAACGCCAAACAATTAGCTTGGGGAGAAAACTTTTACACCAGTGCATACGGAAAAGTTTTTATTTATGGAAATTGCCAGCCACCCCTCATCAAGGAACAAGGAAGAGCAAGGCAGCATGTACTTGCCCTAGGGAAACTGTGCTACTCACATATAGTAGCACTTTTATATCACGCACATTACAATATTAGTGCGACGGACATTGAACTTTCCATTGTGGAATACCCCATGTTTTAAGCCCAGCGAGGAAAAAACTGTTAAATTAATAAACTTATATTGCTTGCGGTCTGGAGCCCAGCACTTCACCGTTTTAAGACTGAAACGTGTTGGTTTTGTAAATATATGTAAATAATATTTTAATAATAGTTGTTATGTTTAGAAGTAAAATTAAAAATCCGTAGTCCAATTCTCTTTCTATTGCGATGGACTTGCTGAACTTTAACCTAAAAATGATAAAGTTAAATCGATATATTCCCGAGAAGCTACGCTAAAGATACTGCCTAAACTATTTGAGTGGTACAAAGCATATGCCACACCAATACATTTTCTTAAAAAACGTAGATCAAAAACACGTTGGAGGTACACAAATCGAAAAATCCTAAAATGCCTAGGAGCAAAAAGTGCAGTTTTCATTAAAAAACCTGACCTGCCTCAACAACGGCGCATGCTGCACGTCACACTGATGATACAAGGTAGGATCTTTCGTCGATTTGCGTGACGTCAGTGGAAGTCACTGCGTTTCGTGATTTTTTCCTGTCTGCTAAATGTGATTCAATATAGCTTATTTAGTCTTTGTCACATTTAATTATTTTTTAATAAATCTTCTTTATAATTACAAAATGCCTTGCAGCAGCAAGTTTTAAGCTTGAAAATGAAAAGTAACAAAAATTTATTTATTTTGTAGGCTAGCATAGTTGCCAGATGTGCAATGAAGTAAAGCGTTTGCTTTTGGCAAGTAGCCCAAAAGTTCGAATTGCAAATTCTTCTCATAATCATCATTTTTGAATTGCTGAGGGCATATTTGTATCCGCACAACAAGCATTCTCCCATAGCTTGCACACGTTCTACACTGAACTTTCCAACTACCAAACGCAAAATGCTCAGATGCAGTAGCGGCTCGTGGACTGATGTAGCGGGTGTTCTGCAAAAGAAGTTCACTGAAATGTCAAATCCTTTTCGAATACCTAATATATTTTTTCAATATTATGTAACAGTAAAGTCTAAATTAATCTATTTTTTATATAACAGTACAATTCTTCGATCCTTTCTAGTTGTAAATTTGTCGATTATCATCTCATTAAATTTGTCGATTTCAGAAATAAACGTCTTTTCGATAGAAATCATGAATAGAGCTAATAAGCGATCTTCAGTCATAGAGTTGCGGAGGAAGGTCTTTAATCCGTTTTAAGGTTGAGAAGCAACGCTCGGCTTCTGCTGTGGTCACAACAACTCCAAGTTGCAACTATTTCTAGCGTTTTTTTTTTTGTTTTACTCATTGTTTCATCTAAATTATTTTTTATCAAAAATTTTAGGAGGGGTAACGCGCCATTTATTTCCCTACAGTCGCTTCTGAAATAAATAACCGACAGTTCCGTGCGGAGTCGTTCTTTTTCAATATGTGGATAAGTTGAACAGATGGTAATCAACTTGTCTTCAAGAAACTTGCCACAATACTCTCCAAATTGTTCAGAAAAAAAGAAAATGCAGCTACAAGATAATCTTTGAAAATAAATCTATCTTTGATGGAAATTGTAATCATGTCACACACTTCTAATGCTGCAACACGGTTATCGAATTTGCTATTTCCGGAACGTTTTCGTTTAGTTGGTGGTGGTTCAGTGCATATGTTTGAAACTTCGTTTACAATATCGTCAATTGTATTTCGGATATGAACAATTATCTGTTCAAAGTTATCAATGGCATGCATGACCTGTGTTGGATCTGTTTTCCTCTTCTGCAATTGATTGAATAAAATATCCACATGCATCATGCATGATGTGGTGGAAAAATGTAAGCAAAAAAACGAATTTTGGTTCTTGTAAAGTACGTTCAATGGAGTCAGCGGCACTGCAGACGGTTGCTTGAGTAAAATTTTCCATTATTTCTTCCATACAATCCATAAGTGACTCTCTGTGTTCAAATACAACATTAATTGTACGAATATTAAAATTCCAACGAGTTGCAGCGGCATGTGGTATTTTTCTTCGCACAATTTTATTTAGTACTTCTACACGTTGCGGAGAATTACTGAAAAATCCAGGAATATCTTGCAACTTTCTAAAAAAGACCCGTACTTGAGCGTTTGCAGAAGCTGCTTTGGACAAAATCAAATTGAATTGATGGACATAACAGTGTACAAAATGGGCAAAGGCATATTTTTGTTTAATTTTTGGCTGAACTCCTGCGTGTTGTCCACTCATAACTGCTGCTCCATCGTAATTCTGTGCAATTAACTTATTAGGAGAATTTCCACCTAATCGGTCTATAATGCTTAAAATATTTTCAGATAAAGTTTCAGCATAGCATTTTTCAGGATTTAGATATGTCCAAAAACGCTCAACTGGTTCTCCATCATCGCGTGAATATCTTAAAATGACCATTAGTTGAGTTTTTGCAGACACATCCGTCGTTTCATCAGCACTAACAGCCAACACCAAAGCTTTTTTAATCTCTTTGGTTATTTCTTCATGGCAAACCTCAAGTATGCAATCCAATAATTAATTTTGGATTTCTTTTGACGTACCTTTAAAAACAGACGCTTTTTGCATATGTTCACCCAAACTTGAATCAAGTTCAGCCGCAAAATTGATCAATTCACGAAATATGCCAGGGTTTTGCGAGGAATCAGATTCGTCATGACCTCGTAGTGCCAATTCAAATGCTCCGCAAAATTTAAGGCTGTTTATAATTTTTGGTAGGACATACCTATTTTGTGTCACGTTCTCGTTATGTTGCTCTAAGTTCTTCCAGTAAGGGCACTTAATTGAGATCGAATATCAACTGTCCCAAGTAAAGCCAATTCCATGGTTGTGAAGATTACTTTTTGAGTTTTCATGCTTTTTTATTTTTTCACATAGATGCACCAAATCAGTTACCCCTACCTCCGTCCATGCTTTATAGCCGCTAATTAGTAGACAAGGAAAACAAAATAAAGCATTTTTCTTATTGCAACCACAAATCCACTTATTTTTGTTATAAATTTCTTGGCGTTTATACGTTTTTCCTCTACTAACTCCACTTGCTTCTATAGTAATATCCGGCAATGGTAGACCCTTTTTATTCAATTCAATTTTCTCTTCGTAACTATACTTGAAAAATATTTTAACGTTTTTCAAAACGAAAACTACATCCATGGTGATAAAACTGACAAACTTAATTATTTTAAAAATCGCACAATCTGATAATATAAATAAATATAATCCCTGTCGCCTAACGTGGTTGTCTAACTAGAACTGTATGAACTAACTAGAAAAGTTGTGGGTTTTATCAGTGTACTGCACTACATGCAGCTCAAAGCCCCGCTTAAAATTCGGGATTTTGCCGTGGTTGCACGGAATAACGGTGACCGGCGTAGGTGTTCAAAGCAGGGCACCACCAGACTTCAAGCGGCCCAGGCAAATGCTGTTTCTGTGCCTGAAACTTAGGCAGCGAATAGTGGTCCATAGTTCCACTGATTTACTGTAAACAGTGCGCCTGATGTATCATATTATGTTATACCCGTATCCTGAAAGAAATGCATTTACCTAAGTCCTGGTTTTGAGTAGTTGGATTGTAATTTGTAAGTATAATTTTTGGCAGTTTTGCAGCTCTGCAGCTCATATGCACCAGCCGCCACTGCTCAGATGTTTGTCTGCAAGATTCCCAAACACGCCCAAACGCATTCACCCCATGATTCAATGAGTTCTTTGAATGATTCAATGAATTAATTGTTTCGTTTGGCTCTACCCGATTTCAGGAATGACACTCTGGCAACACAGCAAGCTAAAACGCTGACAATAAGAGATTTTGTAAATACTTTTTTAGAGCATTTTTCTTCGCAATAAGCCCAAATCAGGTCCCAAACGCGATTTTGAAAGCATTGAGCTATACAACAATGCAAACCATATCCTCATATAACTTTCCACTTTTGAACTATTGCCTTTTAAGTTCAATGAAAATCTGTCTAGTTTACATGCATTTTAAATGGGATCAGCTGTTCACTTTACCAAAGTGCTAACCAGTGACGTCATGTGCGCACGAAAATCGAGTTTTCGACCGATTAATATCCTACCTTGTGTTCATTGCATAGAGTAAGTAAAATAAGTAAATATTTTACTTTCTCTATGGTTCATTGTATCCTTGTTCTATGATTGTATCATGCGTCACACTAATGGTGCGAATAGTTGCTGTTATTGATTTAAAATTTTGAGGGGTTAGAAACAGGTAAGTTTTTAGTAAATCTGGGTGATGTTATCATTATCATAATCTGTTTGGGGCTCATGTACTTTATGACTGTTGGAGTTTCGCTTTCTTTTTAATTTTTCCTTAAAGAACACATAAAATAAAGCAGTTTTAGTCAAAAAATGCGGATGGTCCAAAAATTTGAAGAAAAAACACTTCCAAACATCATGTTCAAACGATTCGGTATTTATCGCTCAAAATGAGATTGCCCAGTGCCGTGTACTGTTAAATCTTGTTTTAAGAAGTAATAATCGATGATTCGATAAAAAAATATGTCTAAGCTCCACCGCAATAAAATTTTGTCAAAACTTTGGCGGGAATGTTTAGTCGATCTCTTACGATGCGCCGGCCTCCCGACGTTCGCTGGAGGCAATTTTGGTTGCACATCCGATTGGTTGGGCATCTGACGCACGCGCATTTTAATGTTGGGCGATGCGGTAGGAATCATAGACTAACTAAGTAATTTGGTAGAAATCTGTCGGAGATGGGTGTAGGCATCTCCGAACGATCGCCAAACCTATTTTGTGAGCCAAAGTCTCAGCTTCTCGTGATTTTATATTGTAATTTTAGATGTTTGAATGCAATGATTCAAGTTCGTCGAGCGATGAAGAGTTGTTTGCGGTATTCGTCGAAAGGCAAAAGCAGAAAAAAGAACATTTTTTAGAAGAGACAATTTTTAAATATACTGGTCTTCAATTTTTGGAAAATTTTCGAGTAAGCCGAGAAGTAGCTGAATTTATCGCCAAACGATTTGAAGAGTCTGAATATTTCTTTAAGCAGAGTGGTGAATTTGGCAAACTTAGTGGCTATTTTTACACAGTTGTGTTCTTGTGGTTTGCTGGTCATGAGGCAGCATCATACAGAGATGTTGCCGATAGATTTCGGATAGCAATCAGTACTCTACGAAAGATAGTTCAGAGAATGACGTATTTCTTAAGCAACTTGGCACCCGAAATAATTACATGGCCCACTTCAGATGAACGTCGGCGTATAAGAAGTCAATTTTCCTTAAATGGTTTTCCAGGCGTTGTAGGTGTAATCGATGGTTCCCATGTTAGGATCGATAAGCCATCTGAAGATCCTGATTGCTATTTAAATAGAAACGGTTTCTATTCATTGCAGGTAGTTATTTATATTGTTCGAATTTTTGTAGAGTAATATAAATAAACTAGATACTATCCAGTTTGTGTATACATATATATGTATATTTATTTGACCTTATAATTTATATTTATATTTTGGTTTTGCTGTCTAAAATCAAGACAGCAAAACCAAAATATATATGTATATATAGATTAATAAAATGCTGAAAGATCTCTTGTAGTTTCAGATTGTCTGTGATCATCGGGGCAAAATAAGGGATGTAATAATAGGATTTCCAGGCTCCGTCCACGACAGCCGAGTGTTCCGAGCATCCCCTCTATCTGAAAACCTGATAGCAAAATGTGGAGGCAATTACATTTTAGGCGACAGTGATTATCCTTGTCTAAAAAATTTGCTAACACCATATAAAGATCTTGGTAACTTAACAAGAGCCCAACAAAGATACAATGCCAAATTGTCTGAGACCCGATCTATTATCGAACATTGTTTCGGGATATTGAAGCAAAAATTTACGCAGTTAAACCACTTAAAGCTGAGGGGAGATCATGATCTTGCAAATTTCATAAGAGCATGTTGTGTTCTCCATAACTTAGCTCTTGAAGATAATTTCCCGACACTTGAAAACATAGAACTGCAACAAAGCAGAGAATCAATTCGACAAGAGCACAGTTACGACATTCAAGTGGAAGAACTGGAAGATGATAGAGACGGAGCAGAAATGAGAAATCACATAGCTAATCTTTTATTTAGTGGCTAGCTACAGTTATTGTAGGTAAATAAATAAATATAAATTGGCGATTTGTCAAATTTCGGCTTGCTCCCATTTGACCAAAAAATTTCTTTTATGGATTTTAACACCATCTGCGTAAGGATAGAACTCATTCCTTAGTACGGTTTCATAGATGAATTTCCAAATTTGAAATTCTAGAGTTCATATCGTAGGTATAACTTATCCTAAACATTAAAAACGGATTCCGAACCGCTGTTGCGTGTTGATGAATCTCAATTGAAGGACAAAATCAAAATTTTGTCTTTTTCCCATAGGAGCCCATGTAAATGAAATTATGATCGAGAAAAATCGGTCGACAGCGACATAAGATCCCATGTGAAGCAAAACATTAAATGTTTATAGCTAACAAACGAAAAGCGCTATTGGCAGGTGCTTTGCTGGATTATACCTTACTTTACTCTTGGTGGGACGTAATGACGCCATCGGTCTAAAAAACTCTAAAAAGAAACAAACTTATTAAAAGTTTGTCGTCATTACAATAAATAAGTTTGAAGACTTGAAAATTATGAGTAATTAATAAATTTACCACAAAAATCGGGCACTTGTTATATGCCTCCATACACATATACAGGGTGGCCATTTTCTGAATCTTTGTATGGGTAACTTCTACATTTTTAAAGATAGAGAATCTGTTAGATGGGCGAAATTGGGCAGAATTCGATTGCCTATTCATTATCGTTTTCAAAATTTAGGTACCCGACTTGGTTCCTGAAATATCCTGAAAAGACAAGAAATCAACACTTTTCAATTATCACTTATTCCGAATGCAAAGAAAAATAGCTGAAAGTAAAAGAAATCAATATAAACAGTATTTTATTCGTTTTGGGTCCGATAATGAACAAAGTATTAAAGTATTGCAATTGTGATGTATTTTAATGTGTGATATAATGAGGCTGTTGACGAACTGTAAAAGAAAAGGAAAATGCATGCCAAGGCTTAAAGCAGTAATAACGCTACACATAAAAACTTTTAACTAAAAACAAGATAATTTTGCTTCCTGAGCAATGATTTGTGTGTGGGTTTGTGGTTTCTATTCGAGAGTTCAAAATTCCAGACCATGTCCAGACGCCACCTGGTGGCTAAAATTCTAACTTCAAGTAATTTGACACTGTGTTTTGTTTGGTTCTAATCAACTTTACAAGCTTTTGTCGAAATAGAAACAGATCGAAAAGTGTGTAAGTGTTGTTTTATGTTATAAATGTCATTAATTCCAATAAATGAACAATTCTGACAAGCCTCAACTCTCACTCGACAACCCTTTGAATATAAAACTAACTTCTATATTTATTTAGTTTTATATTTAAAGCGACAACCAGTAACTTGACGCTTCGAAGCGCCACCATCGGTAGATGAATTCGCGAGTACGCTAGGTAAGTTCCGACGCCGGGGCCGCCTGACGGATAGGTTTTTCAGGTTTGAGGTAGTATCGCCCTTCGCGCGGACACTAGTATGTCAATTAAACTAAATTTTAATTAATTTAAATATTGCATAGCTATTATCTTTTTTAAAGTCTTGACTATTTTGTAAACTAAATAAAATATCAAGTGGTTTCTTTAATTCTTATTTTTCCTGTGGTTTTTTCATTCGATCACTTTTTCTTCATTTACCATTTCAATCAATGGACTAACATTGCTTAAATGTTTTTCAAACACCAAAGGGACACTGCGGTAAACGTGTGGAAATTAAAGATGGTTCTTTAATTGAAAAAAGTGTCTTTATTATGCAGCCTGTTTGATTTTTCTCAAGCTGCTTATCAGATGATTTATTCCAAATCATCCGCCTGTTGTTTTTCGAATAAACATTTTTGGTATTAACATAGATGCAAACAGCTGCAACGTGCTTTCGATAATAGTGTCCTTGACAGATCTATTCTGATTTAGCTAAAAAATTAATATTTTAAAATATCTATGAAATAAAACTAGCAAGTAATACAATTGAACAAGCGTGACAAAAAAATATTAATTTATCAGACTGTGAAGGCTTTCACGGCCGGCCAAATCACATTTAGAAATGTTTTTCGGGCTTTGAAGCCGTGGTCCATGGGAATTTCTTCCTGGCGTTTCGTCCACAAGTCTTAGTCGGAAAGCACGGGAGATCACTTCGCCCACTCGTCCACTGCCTCATCGCCTTTGATATTGTCCACCGCAGTTGTGGACGAAACGTCAGGAAGAAATTCGCATGGACCACGGCTTCAAAGCCCGAAAAACATTTCTAAATGTGAAAAGATAAATTTATTTATACTATTCCTTTATACCAACAATATTTCTAAATATAATTACATAAACATAATCACCTGAATTTTTAGTTTATAAATATTCTCATGGTTTTTGGTACTCTGCCCCCGGTGTCTCCCTAAACTTTTCCCGTCCGCGTTCCGACATGCGTTTTCGCCAATTTCTTCATGTACTTCACTTACGTGAAAGCTTTCTAAAATATTTTTGAATTTTGAAAAGCGTTTTGTGCGAAAAATGCGCTTTTATTATAACGATAATTTTTTTTTCAACTAAGTAGATGCATTCCTTGTCTTCTACAAGGTGATCGTGCACGTAATTTTGGATATATTTCTTTAATAGACCATATTCCGAAAACTCTTAGTATCCGATGTACAGCGTGTAAAATGATATTTGTTAATATTGCGGAAACCCCTCAGAAGATTTTAATGAAATTTTATGGACTTCGGCACTTAACAGTAATACATGTTTTGTGATAAAAATTTTATATTTAGCTTCGCCAGTGACGAGGGAACAGGTACGTCTGTAGATAATTTTAAATAAAAAAATGTTACGTCACTGATTTTTCTACAAATAAATATTATTCTTCCAGTTTCTGTTCAATTTGGAAGAGAACAGGTCTCTTTACTTTTTTTTACAACGCACCGTGTTTGAGTGAAAAAATTAAATTCGATTTATTACCCAGCGTAATCCGGTTTCTACTTAAAAAGTTGGCTCTGCATTAGTTATGGGTCAGTGATTGAAAAAAATTAATAATCGCTGTCATTTCGAGTGTTTGAGTAACTTCTTTTTGAGTTTTTTTTGTAATAAAATTGACACAATCTAAGTGCACAATTTTTCTCTTTATACTAAACCCTACTTAATTACAACCCGATTAAGCTATGCAATAAATCGATTTTAATCTATTTACTCGAAAACGGGACGTCGTAGATAAAAAGTTACCTCGGTTATTTCAGAAAACATGGGTTCCGTCTTCTTATTTTCTATCCCGCAACGCATTCTTGATGTTAAGAAGATACTAATCTCCCTTCAGCTTATAGTTGCAAAATATGTAAAACGAATTTATTAGGGCATATTTTCAATTCTCTATATTATTTCTATGATTAATTGTGTTTA